TCATTTTACTTTCAAGATCTCAATATATCCCTGGATGTCTCGATGCCTTTTCCTCTTCCTGTGATGTCGTTCTGCTAAAAACATTGGGTTTTACTTCCTTGCAGCTTTTAGGTCTTGGCTTTCTCTTATTCACTCATCTAACTCTACTCCTAGGCTAGCTTACATGGTGCCCTTCATTGATCACATTATTTGACAACACACGAAAGCACTTTCCCTTCCGACCGTGGAAAACTCCCTGTGACATACTCAGTGAATTTTTGCTTGACCAAAACTGTACTCAGGCTCTCAAAATTTGGCTTCTCTTAACTTTTAACACAGACTAAATCATTAACAGCTGAACCACCTTCCCGAAATAGTTTATTCCAAGAGCAGATCAGCCAGCAAAACGAAAACACTGAAACAACCTGATTTTGCCAACTGCTCATCCTGCTTGCATACCTTCCTCTCAAAAAAAAACCCTCTGGTTAATTTGGCTTCCTCCTCCCATGCAAGAAAAGCCACATTATGCTCAACTTTGAGGTTCTTCAGACTTTTGAGATCAAAACATTCTCCCATCTGCAATACCCTATAAGTTCTCATCTCAGTCTATTTATTTAGATTTGACATCTGGAACTTTTGATTTTAGGTACATCATGTTTCATATTCCTCGTGACTTTCTAAGACTCCACTTAGTACACCTATTTATCTTCATGTATTTATTCTCTTTTGCTTAGAATCTGAAAGATGGTAGATCATGGTTTCCTGTTGCATCGGCTCGTCTTCCATTACCCACCCCACACATAGCAGGTGCTCAGAGAACATGTCACTTAAAAGGATATACAGAGTCTTATTGGCATTGTGATGGAAGTTGAACACATCAAAATCTAGAAATAAAGAGATATTTGGTAGCACCTCTGCCAAGATCTCATTCTCTACCCCATAGCCAAGAAAAGTCTCCGACATAGTCCTCAGGGTAGGTTCATATTGAGATTATCTAAGGTCAACAGTGGCACTCCGTTTGATTTAATGTAGTCTTCTAAGTCCTTTTCCTCTCTTTGAACTTTGTTCAGAGACAGAAGCCAAGTTTTTTTCCATGATATTAGTAAGCCAATGGATTTTCAGTCACCTCTTCTTAGGACATCCCTATTGGTCTGGGCTGAACTCGGATTCCATTGGATACAGCCACTTCTGTAGCCCATCCTTGTAGCCTGTTTCCTTGTTCTCAGTCCTGGTGTTCTATCTTCTGATTTATTCCTTCCTCCCTTCCTCACTTAACTGGATCTGCCCACCCATATTTCCTTGTCTCCTTGGTGATGTACCATTACTGTCTCTCTCATCTGCAATCTTCTTTATTTCATTTTACTAAAATATGATTTTGTTTGGATGTTGTTGTTGTTTCTTGGTTGGATTGTTTGTTTGGTTTGAGATAGGGGTTCTCTGTGTAGCCATAGCTGCCCTGGAATTCACTCTGTAGACCAGGTTGCCTTGAACCCAAAGATTCACCTTCTTCTGCCTTCCAAAATCTAAGATTAAAAGCATGAACCATCACTGCTTGGTACCAAAATAAGGTTTTATGCTCACATCCAGAGATAGAAAAAGAACTTTCTGAATTTATTGTTTTTCCAATCATGGATTAAATATTTATAGTTTGAGTTTTTATCAAAAAAGATCTAAGGTCACAAACTTTGTATCCAACATTTCTCCTTTCTTCTCACATAGACAAAACAAGAAAGAAGAAAGAGAAAAGTTAATGGTTCACAACCACAGTGAATCACATTCACATTATTAATCTTTTTTTCACATTGCTGATCAGTTCTGCAACGTATAAGAATCCATTAAAATGAATGAGATAGCAGTGTCTCTGTGTCGCAAGCATCACTACCTATGGGGCCATGTTCAAATGTATTCAAAGCACATACGTTTTCTGGGCTCACAAAATCAAGCAGGGAACCACTTGAAAGAAAATTATGGGATTTCTGGGCCAGGAGATAAAGAAAGAAAGCTTTAAAACTACAGAGAAAAAGAAATCTTCCCTTACATTTGCAGAAGATGAATTTTATTTTAACTCTTTTTTTTAAGTGTAGCCAAGCCTAATATTATATTTTGTATCTTCTTATCTTGTTTTCCAAATTTTAGAGCTTCAAACAAGGTGGATACTGAAAGAAAGAGCCTCAAATCCAAGCCAGCACCATCAGTGAACGTCAGAGTGTAGTGTGTAAAATGTAAGTAGTCTTTTTGTCTAATTCATAGAATAATAATGTGGATTACATGACAACAGCAGCAAAAACCTTCCCAGTAAACTTATAATCAATTGCATAGCTAGTTTTTAATTTCTAATATGAATATATTGTTATACAAACAATTTTCTGTTGGGTAACTGGTGCCTTAACATTCTGTTTTCTTAAGTTTATATATAAATTATATAGATTTTTCTAAATGACTGTGAACCACCATTAGAACCATGCATTCAGAAGAATAACAGAAACACATTGGGCACAAAAGTTTCTCCCAAAGGCAATAGCCTTAAAGTTCTCATCTCAGTCTGTTTATTTGGTGCAAAGGGGGAAATTACCTAGCTGATTCAAAAAATTCATGACAAGGCTGAACAATGATGATTGCTGTATGCCAAAGGATATTGGATAATGATGTTGGAAAGGCTTTTTTTTTCATTTGTTATAACCTAATTAAGGATTAGGGATGAAAGTCGGGCAGTGGTGGCACACGCCTTTAATCCCAGCGCTGAGGAGGCAGAGGCAGGTGGATTTCTGAGTTTGAGGCCAGCCTGGTCTACAGAGTGAGTTCCAGGACTGCCAGGGTTATACAGAGAAACCCTGTCTCGAACAAAAAAACGAATTAGGGATGAAACTACTGATTTCTAGTTGACAGTATTCATGGAGACTGCTAAATACCTACACAGTGCAGAACAGACCACACATCAAAGCATTCTCTAGTTGAATATGCTAATGTGAAGAAATTTTGAGTAGGGAGTGTAAAAATTGTGCTGTAGATATGGAACTAACAGACAAATTATGGAACACAGTGCAAAGTCTTAGCATTGACTCTGGGATATGTAAAGTGTGTCATAAAAATGTCTAATCATTTGCGTGTTTACATATAAACGTGTGTGTATGTGTGTATAAATAGGATATCAATTTGAGAGGGAGCTGTAGGGGAAAGCTGGGGGGAGTTGAAAGAGGAATGGGACGTGTAGAAATGATGAAAATGCAGTGTTACTTTTGTATGAAATGCTCCAAGAAGAGTCTCACCTGATTGATAGGCTGCTTAACAAAGACTTCCTCAATTAACTAATAGATTGAAAGGCATAAAGTTAGATATTTTATACACGTAAAAAATAAATTCAATGTTTTTATAAAATAAAGCAAAAACTGTAAGGTGAAATTGTTTAGCTCTGGAAGCTACTAGAAGAGCTAATGCCATGCACATTATTAAGATCCTCTTCTAGTCCCAGTTACTGAGCACCAGTCAGTGGGAAGGGGAAACTGAGAGCAATACTCTTTTTTTTTTCTTTTTTTATTGGACATTTTACTTACATTTCAGACGTCATCCCCTTTCCTCATTTCCTCCCCACCCAGAAACCCCCTATCCTATGCCCCCTCCTTCTGCTTCTATGAGGATATGCTCCCACCCACAGACTCCCACCTCCTCTCCCTAGAATTCCCCCACACTCGGGCATCCAGCCTTCACAGGTCCAAGGACTTCCTCTCCCACTTATGCCCAACAAGCAACACTTTATTACCAAGTCGACAGCAGGCATCTGTCAATCCTTGGGAGGCTGGATTATATCTGCAGAAAATAAAAGACCACATTATATGAGACTATGAGAATACACACATGCATACGCACATAATATATATTAGCTTATTTCACTACTTAGTTTGTGTTTTCCAAGTAAGGACAAGTAGGTGGCCCATTCATGTGCTTCTTTCTCTGCTTCAAAAGGGAACTGCCTTTTGGAGTTTGTGCCTATTTATATTCTCTCTTGAAGACAAAAATAAAATCAACGATCTGAGTTATTTTCTAATACAATGGTTTCTTTTGGTAAGGATTTTTAGTTTGATACATCTTTGAATTTCCTGTCTCTGTAAGCATGGCTTGGATAGAGGGTTAAGGGGTGCTCAGATATGTCCCAAAGAATGAAATTCAGAATTGTTTTTGAAGCTATTTAGTTCCAAGGAGCTGTGAATAACCAATTAAGTTGTAAATATAATCATTGAAGTTCTTCCTACTTTGTAGAGGTCCAGTTGGACCTATAGCTAAGGTTGCCCTCTGAGGATGAGGCCACACTGTCCTTGGAAGCTCACGTCCCATGGACAGTCCTGTACATAAAAAAATAATAATTAAATTGTAGGGTGGGGTCTCCAAAAAGATGATATTGTGTACTGAGAAAAAGAGTGAAAACCACAGCAGCTATTGCACCAACAGAAAAGAGACAGGATATCACACTAGACAACACCCTATTGTTTTTTTAAAAAACACTACAAAACACTACCACAGAGTACAAACCACAAGTTTTAGGCTCTCAGTTAGCAAATGTTATATAATCTTCCTTTGACAACAGTCTTTCTGTGAAAAGATCTCCCAGCTGTCTCCATCCCTAGCTTCATCCTTCAATGCTCACATTACCTTCCAATAATTTTTTAATGAAATTTGCCCATTTTTTGTATCATTGAATTTTGCACATAATTCTGCCTGGGATTCCTTCCCATGCTTTCATTGGTTATTATATGTCCTATAGAGTAGAAAGCATGACTTTTTCCCCCTAGCCCTGCCATGTGAGATTTTAAATTATAGTTAACTGATAAATCCACATAGGTCAACAGAAGTTGGAGTAGTTCACAATTCACTATTTAAGTCTTATTTAGATGTAATATGTAAAGAACTAGTTAGTTAAAAATAAATAGACGCTATTAAACACTCAAAACAAACACTATTATTTAAATGGCACTAATTAACTAACAGAAAAAAAATACCATGCTTACCTCCCTGAAAATGATCTTAACACTAAATATGACATTGGTAACATCTGACCGAGTAGAACAGATATATTATTTAGGGTAAAACTTGAGTGTTTATATTAAAAAGTGTTGAAACTATTTTGGGGTATGCTCCAGAGAAAGGGAAAATTCACAAATTCAGCACTTTCATGGATGTGTACAACAGGTGGTAGAAATAAAATTGGCTAAGCAAACATTCTGTGACATAAAGACTGTGCCCTGATGGGTGTACTCTTGGGGAACAGGAACTTAAAATTATCTTAAAGCACAGACAGAAGGAGTGACTTACTTGAAACAGGGTTATCCTGCATATGGGCACAGAGAAGCCCAAAACAGAATGTATTCAAACAGGCATGTCAAACCTGCTATTAACTCACATGAACATCAGGTGAGGCATCTGAACTGGTTAAACTCAGAACATCCATTACCAGGAGATGTATCATCTAAGTTTGAAGAGTGGGAAGTAGCATCCAGTGATGTGTCCTGTGTGCAGTAGTCTGGAACTCTGTCCCTCTGGCTGGACAGCCATTGAAATCATGAAATCAAAGCAACTGTGATGGTCCCCTGAGACCCCACTGGATTGAGCCTAGTAATATTCCCTTATAGATGTGTGGGAAGGCTCACATAGCAGTACCACATAAAATGTTCGAATGTGTTCCATCCCTCCCCCAGGATATAAAAGAACTCAACAATTGCTATGGTGAGCACAACTCTTCTATGATCTGCCCATATGTTGCTCATAATCCTCAAAGTTGATTTTGACCATGCAACTCTATGCAACCCCAATTATATCCACTGGTTTGCACAGGAAACATTTATTTGATTTGTCTTAAGATCCCAGTGAACAGATTGATGTTCAGCTCAAGACATCCCAACACCAAGTTCTCAGCACAAAGGAAATTTATTTGTCCCAGAGGGACAAAACATAGGGATTAAGAGACAAAAACCAGAGAGAAAAGATGGGGGAAAAGGAGAAGGTAACAAAGGAAAGGTGGGAATATTTGTTCAAGAGGGACAAAGTACTGTATCTGAAGAGAGGATATAGATATGACCCATAGGCAAATGGCAGTTTAAAATATAAATGAGAAACTTCATGTTAGGATAAGGTGTTTAATTTGATTGGACTATGTTAATTAGGGCAGTCACTGAGGGCTTTTGATTGCTTGACTTCAATACTTTAATAGCTGGACTTTGGTAGTCAGCCTCAAGGGGAGAAAGTGGCCAAATAGGGGAATGGACCTCAGTGTCAAGCTTTAAGAATGTAATCTAACATTTTCAGCAAGCAACAGGGAATGGGAAAAAGGCAAGGTGTGCCAGAGACATGTTTGCCATGCTTTGACTAGCTAGAGTGCTTTTACCCTGTCTGGGTGAATAGGCATCTGTCCACGCCTCCCCAGGAAAAGACCCCCAAATGGTGAGATGATAATGTTTTCCTTAAGTAAACCAGTTACAAAGGCCTCATAGTTGGTATGAAGTTAAATTCATCTCTCTCTTCTGGCTTTTTGTATCACCTTTAAATGGCCTTGAGTGAAATCTTGTATAAAAGCTTTTACATAGAATCATAGATGTAATCTTTTTGCCCAGTAATGAGAGTTTGTAAATGGGGAAATGAGTTAACAATGCTTTCCCCTCCAAGTTCATAAATATAAAGAAATTATGATTAGACATGAAAAGAAATGTTAAAGACATGAATATGGATCTATAAAGATAAACTAAATGATTTTCTTAGACTAAAATGTGTTCATTTCATACCCAATTTCCAAAACCACTTTCTTCTGTTGATGCTCAAGACCACACTCCATCTCTCTACGTCACCATGGAAAATGAATGAAGCAAGGTTTGGGGGAGAATTAGAGTAGGGCGTATCAGTGCAGAATTTTAATAATGAGAGAAACCTATTTTCTTAAAACCCTGCATGGGAGGAACTTTCAAGGTTGTTGCCTGTCATAAGCAGGTGAAACCCAAGGAGGAAACTGCTCATATGCTGTAGATTAGACTCAGAGGCTATTGATGCACTTCATGGAGTTGGCAGGGCAGGTTACCAAAGAGAAGTACACAGTTTATACAGAAATCCTCGGGATGTAGGAGGGCAATCCCTGTGGATCTTTGACCCAGAGCTGGCTGTACGCACACTGAGCATCTCCAGTAGCACCCAGAATCCCTTGGTACTGAAGGAAAGACACTTCTATATAATAAAATTATATCTG